AATTTGGCATGGATACTCGATATGCCCAAGTGTGAACAGTGGTGGATTTTGGGGGGAAACAGACCTTGACATTTGGGAGTTGTACTTGCTGGGATTTATAGCTCACCTACAATCAAAATGCATTCCGAATCCCACCAACGATAGAATAGGCCAAACTTCCCACACAGAACTCCCATGACCAACAAAAAATACTGTTGTTGATGGTCTTTGGTGACCCCTCTGCCACCCTTCACAACCCACCCCCCAGGGGTCCTGACCCTCCAGGTTGAGAAATGCTGATCTATATAGTCCATACTGGGGGTTTTGTAGCCCACCAGCATTTGGAGCTCACATTTTGCCCATTCCATTCTATTCCCTGAACTTTTCAAAAATACATTGACAACAAGATAAACAAGTGATACTTTTCTAGTTCTAGACACAAGAGAAGTTTAGTAAAAGAGAGTTCTGTTTGGTCTGCATTGTTAAATAAACTCTTTCAGTTGTGTTTTATTTTCCTCCAGATGCATAGATAGACTGTTACACAGATATCTTTTCGACTGCACCCTTCTTCAGAATAAAATGCAAACTTGTCAGAGTTGAGTACAAAAAGAACTGCATGTACAAAAGATATTATATTAGGGGAAGATGATACACAAAATGCACATATAATAGCAATCTGTGTTTTCATTCATTTTCATCTTTAAAAATCAGTGTGAAGTGGCTTGAATGGGATGGATTTGTGACTGGATATATGAGAAAACAACTGGGCTGGAAGCAAATTGGTTTTGTCTATAATATGAGGAAAGTAAAAGGAACTGGCTTTATATTTAATAGTTTTCTTCATTTATTCAGATGCAAAGAACTTTGTTTAACTAATCATGATGTTCTTTCCAGTATGAACAACACTTCAGCTTCCAACGGAGTCTTCCTCATATAGTGGAGGTTCAAGATGGTTGTGAGTTAGCTTGATGTTCCTTATGAGAAGATCTTCACTGCAAAGAGGCCCAGGAAGCATGGAAAGAAGAAGGCCACTTGGGGACCCAAGTCCTTACTGTTCAGGCTAAAAGCAAAACGTCGCATGGCTGCCAAAGCACCATTGGCCGGTCCATAGCTCAGTGTATCCAATGTATAGTTGTATTCAAATGTCACAATTCTCAGTGATAGTTTAGAACTGAGTTCTTCCAAGTTGCCTCTGGCACACCCTTTGGCTGCAAAGGGGATTTCAAAACCACCTAAGAGAGAATGAAACATTTAATAAAGTATCTAACATGCATATAATTTTTCATCACAAATAAATGGGTGTTGATATCCTTGGAGGCACATGTGGTAGGGACCCAAGACATGTCCTTCATAACAACTGATGGAGTCAGTCTATCTCCTCCACAATCTCTCCATATTTTGCTGTCTTTACAGTAGCAAGTAAAGGCCATGCCATCTAGGATGCAAGTGGGAATAGTTCCCAGCAGGATGACTGTGACATGACAAGAAGACTGTGACATAATCCATTCATATCACCTCCTTTTGTATTTGTGTCATGTCTTCATTAGATTTCAAGCCTGAGGGCAGGGGACTGCTTCTTTATTCTTTTATCGTCATTCCTCCACATTTCTGGCTTTGACTTTTGCAAATTTGATTATTCATGAATTTGATAGAAAATGTTTTCTCTTGGAACCTCTAGGTTCTCCAGTGGGACTGGTCAGCTTCTTCTAAAACAGTGGTTCCCAACCTGTGGTCCATGACCACCAGTGGTCCACAAGAACAAAAATATGGTCTGTGGTCCCACCATCACTACACCATTACCTCAAAACCAAGCGGCAATGAGAGCGACCGGTCTCACAAAACCCTCTTATAGTGCCAAGATGACAGGGATGACGGGAAGTACTACTACCACATCAGTTCTAGATTATTAAATATGGATTTCTGCAGGCGAGTAGATAGCGACAACCGGATGGCATATGTTCTGTATCGAATACTAGAGCTGATGTGGTCTATCCAATGCAATTTTCTGAATTGGCACCCCAAATAACCAAACCAAATCTAAAGTTGACCAAAAATTGATTTGTAACCCTTCTGGTACTATTGTTGGAGAGTGGTCCCTGGTCAAAGTGGTCCCTGCTCTCAAAAAGGTTGGGAACCACTGTTCTAAAAGGAATCTATGGATCTTACAAAGCAATTCTTTAGTCAGCCTCCAGTGGAAATTGACCATAGAACAAGGTGAAAAGACTAAGAAATGCATAGACAGGTAATTATCTGTCAAAACCCCATTAGTTTCATGATTTGCAGGGTTTGTTTTTTTTACTTTCACAATGATCTTGTGCCCCTAACCACAGTGAATGTGGAGAGCTAACTGTACTTGTAGAGGGCCAGTTACAGTGATAGTACTAAATGCATAATATCCCTATGAGATTTAAAGTTAAACTCTAGGATGTCTCAGGAGGCAAACAAGAGTGATGTTATGAGCAAGGAAGTCCTGATGATATCAAGAAGCATGACACATTGATAAAAACATCAGTTTTTACAGATGAAGAAAATATGTCTGATTGTCAATCTCTATTTCAATCTACATTGTGAAACCACATATATACTGAGGAATGTAGGAGGGCACTTTGAGGCCCTGGTAGTGAATGGTAAAGATCATAAGATACAAAATGACACACCAGCAAAGATGTCCTAATATGCACCGAAAAGTCAGTGGCTTGATGTGGAATGGTCCCAATGCTATTGTCGAAGGCTTTCATGGCTGGAATCACTGGGTTGTTGTGAGTTTTCCGGGCTTTATGGCCATGTTCCAGAAGCATTCTCTCCTGACTTTCACCTGCATCTATAGCATTATTCTCAGAGGTTGTGAGGTCTGTTGGAAACTGGGAAAATTGGGTTTATATATCTGTGGAATGTCCAGGGTGGGAGAAAGAACTCTTGTCTGTTTGAGGTAGGTGTGAATGTTGCACTATTGTCCACCTTGATTAGCATTTAATGGCCTTGCAGTTTCAAGGTCTGGCTTCTTATTGCCTCGCTCTAACAACTACCATGTCAGACTACACAGAGAAACTACTGAAATCTACAAGCATGTGGACAATTTCAACAGAAAGGAGGAAACCATGAAAATCAACAAAATTTGACTACCAGTATTTTAAAAAATCTCCAAAATCAGCACAGTAAATAAAGAGCAACACTCAAAAATGGGAATTCCAGACAAGAAACAATAAGGGCCAGTTAATCACCTCCCAACAAAGGATTCCCCCAGGCAGTAAAAAGTCAGACTTTGAAGCTGCAAGGTCATTAAATACTAACTAAGATGGCCAATTGCGACATTCACACCTATCTCAAACAGACAAGAGTTCTCTCGCCCAGCCTGGACTTCCCACAGATAAATAAACCCCATTTTCCTAGTTTCCAACAGACCTCACAACAACTCAGTCCAATGTAGCCGTTTCCTATTTTGCATTGATTTCGTTGGGTATTGGTCTTGATAAACACTGGTCAGTTTGCTGGCTGGCTTCCATGGTAATGTAATGACAACCACTTGCTAAATGTAGACATTGCCCAATTATATTTGCTACAGACATAACCCCACATGTGAAAATGTAAGTCCCCAAGTGAATTCTAGCCTTTATACACATTTTCCATGACAACACTATGTCTTGTTAGATTTGTATAAAGGCTGAGATGGGAATCATTCAGCTATAACGGCAAAAGCAATGGATGAGGAGGCTTAAAAATGGAGATAAAGATAAATACCTTCTATTATTTTGCCACTTATTGCAGCACACTGTATAAAGTCTCCATAGCAGGCTACGGTTCCATTATCCTCACAGCTTGTGTGTCCTGGTCTGTAACATTTGGGGCAAAACTTCCCATTCAAGTAATCTTCCAAATTAATATCTGCAAGTCCAACCAAGACAAACAGTGAGGTTTTCTGGTAACAAAAGAAATTCATTATCCACAGTCCAAACAATTTTCAGGAATTTTGTTCCTTCACTTTTGTCAGACTTTTCATACAAGGGGCAGTTGGAGGGTTATGGGTTGGGGCTAGCATTAGATTTAGGCCAAAGATGGATAAAGCGCAGTCCCTCAGATAGTGTGGAGTTGCAATTTTCCTAAGAATGTAACACTAATGATGCTAGGACTGATGGAAGTTGCAGTCTAGCAACATGTAGCGAATCGTATTTTGCCTATTCCTGATTTAAGCCTGTTAAAGTAATTGGAATCGATTATTGAAAAGACAAAAGTGTGATTTTAAAAATGTTTCGTGATTTGCAGCTAAGGCTGAGATAAAGTATCTATAATCTAGGGCTCAATCGTAGCACTATGATTCTACCTCAGCAGCCACAGAATGCTGGGTTTTGTAGTTTGGTAAGGCACTAGAGAGAGGTAACATGGAGTAATAGTTTTGAGTCTGTGACTCTGTAGAACCAAAGTTCAAGTCACTGCTCAGCTATGAAAACCTTCCCACTAATTTTTTGTATTTTTGTATAGTTTCACCTGGGCTCCATCTGCCTTGATATTCTGGATTATATGGCAGTGTAGAAGGGCCCACTACACTGCCAAAAAAGGTATTGCACAAGGAAGTATTTCGTTACTCCTTACACAATATCCACAAATGTATGTATATAGCTGCAATCCCTAGTCACACTAACGTTAGATGTGATGGCTGCTGAGAATCCTTCTTGGGCCCCTTCTACACTGCCAGATAATCCATATCTACTTCAAAGTGGGTTATCAGAGTCCACACTGCTATGTAATCCAGTTCAATATGGATTTTACACAGCTATGTGAAAGGGGCCTGGGTCACCTTTTGCTTTCTGACTGTTGAAGACATTTTTAAATTTTTTGTGTGTTTTTTGACCCTTAACTTCTTGTGGCATCGCGTGCTGAGGTTTTATCTTTTTGCTACGTTTGCAACATATTTTAATTAATAATAATAATAATAATAATAATAATAATTTACTTATACCCTGCTGCAATATCCCGGAGGGATTCAGGACAGCTCACAAAGCCCTCAAAGGCGCAAGCACGCAAAATGCAAAAAAGTGCAAAGACAGTAGCACAAAGCAGTAACAACCAACATAAACATCATAATCCTCCCCCCCTCGATTAAAATAAGTAAAAAGCAACTATAGCTGATCCCTCTCCCTGGATTCAAACCGCTGACCTTTTGGTCAGCAAGTGCAATAGCTCTGCAGTTTAACCCACTGCGCCACTGGGGGCTCAAAAAATCTCTAGGTTCTCAAATTTGTAAACATGGTCAAAGGCTTGTCTAAAAAGCCATGTCTTTAGTTTCATATGAAGGCTTGCAGAGTGGGGACTAGCCTACTCTCCCTCGGAAGATTATTATTATTATTATTATTATTATTATTATTATTATTATTCCAAAGCCACCACTGAGAAGACCCTCTCTCTTGTCCCCACCAACTGCACTTGAGACGGAGGTTTTTCGTTTTCACTTTTGCATTACTTATTATTTTATCTACATTCTGTTTTGATTTATATTTAGGTTTCCTATTAGGAGGCAGGCAGGAAGTAGAAAATTATCAATCAATACCTCCCACCTTGTCCCAAATAGGAAATCCACTGCATTAATTAAGTAATAAAAATAAGACAGCTATAAAATCCTGCCCTAATATTCCAAAGCTATGGCACGAGGCTGAATTTTAGTTGAATGAGCACTGGTCTTTTTAGATTTCCTAAATCTGAACTCCGAAAATTCCAGTTCTTTGCCAAAAAGTTCACCAATATTTTTTGAAAATTACTTTATGAAAGTAAAAGAAGAGGAGGAAGAGGAGAATACTCCAAAGCTGTTACATACGGGCAAATGGAGGAGCAACTCTGCATGGTCCTTTACAAAGCAGGGAATTATACTCTAGAGATTTGTCTTCTCCAAACTCAAACCTAAAGCTGCTGTTCACATTTTCTTTAGCCACTGCGCAGTACTGGGAGTAGCCATTTGTCTGGGTTTCTCCTAGTTGGGAAGACAGCAGTTAGAATATATAATGGACCGTAGTTCATCACAGTACATTGCTACAGCTGAGAAAGAGAATCATGTTAATAGATTTTTTTTAAAGCAATGTCAGAAAACAACTAGCAAACATTAGGTGTCCTACATTTCGGAGAAAATAGGGGGAAAAACAGATGATTTCTTGTTCACTTTTCAAACTATGTGCATATAAACTCTACTAAATATGATTATGTATACATGAGGACCTCATTTAACTGCAAAACCCATATGTTTGTAAAGTACACCTGTGGAGAAGAATGCAGCAAAATAAACACAATGGAAAAAAGTCCTATAGTAAAATGTTTTCTTTGAGGGAAGAAAAGACGATACACTGATTAACATATCATAATATTATATTATAAAATGTCCTTTTAAAACATTATTAAAAACAATGTAGTTGCATCCAAGTTCAATTCAGCATTCAAAGACCCAATCCAAAGCCTGTCCATTATCAATTCATATGTATCATTGCAATTCCGGTTAAGCTGCTATCCAGTTCTCTATAAGGGTTGTTTATGTGTTGTAAGATAAGGTGATTAGTTCCTTATACAGTCACCCAATAATTCTTTTGTCTTGTTGAAGGCTTTCATGGCCAGAATCACTGAGTTGTTGTAGGTTTTTGGGGCTGTATGGCCATGTTCATGTCCTCATATGCCTACCATAGATACAGGCAAAACGTCAGGAGAGAATGCCCCTAGAACATGGCCATACAGCCCAAAAACCTACAACAACCCAGGAATTCCTTTGTCTTTTTCTACTTTCCTTTTAATTATTCTGTCTAGTGAGGTTTCTGCTACTTCCCTTCTTTTCATGGCCTGAGCTTTGCTGGACAGGCCTAACCACACTATCCAGTTCCCTTGACCAACTTTGTCTTTTATTGTATCCCAGTTTGTTATTTCTCCATTGGGTTCCATGAGGTCCCCTACTTTTTTCCTTCAGGACTCTAATTAGATTTCTGAGTGTGTCATTCTTATTTTCCAAGGTTTCTAATGGGAAAGCGTCAATTTTATTTATTTTTAGTTTATTTAGCCATTTTTTTCCAGATTTTTTGATAAGCATGGGCCAACTTTTAAGTTCTTTGAGTCTTTCTTTTGTCTATTTTCTCTCCCATATACATTCCCTTTTGTCAACTATTTGAAGTCTCAGGCCAGCCTGGCAGTGCCATCAATGGAGCCAAACGGACCTCCGAGGCAGAGAGCAGCAGAAACGGTGAGGGGGAGGAGGCCGTCGCCGAGTGAGCGGAAAGCCCTACTTCGCAGCGGCCTCCACCTCCTCGCTACCTCCACTGCTCCACACCTTGGAGGCCCCTTGGGCACCATTGATGGCCCTGGCAGGCTGGGCTGAGGCCTCAGCCCAGCCAGGCAGCAGCAGAGGCGGCGAGGAGGAGGAGGAGGCTGCCGCCGAGTGGGTGGAGTGTCCCTACTTTGCAGTGGCCTTCTCTTCCTCGCCGCCTCCACTGCTGCCCACTCCTTCCTCTGAGGCCCCTTGTGTGCCATTGACAGCACTACCAGGCTGGGGAGCAGCGGAGGCAGTGAGGAGGAGGAGGCCAGCGCTGAAGAGCCCGGTGACAAGCCCCTGGGAAAGGCCCAGCACATGGCTTCGCCTTCCCTCCTCCTCTTGCTCCTTCTCCCCCTCAGCTCCCTGGGCGGGGGGGGGGGGGACCCGCAAAACAGCGAGTCCGCAATAAGAGGACCACGAAGTAGCGAGAGAACACTGTATAGCCAATTATTTCATCAATCAAAGGAAAAACAAGTATATACATTGTCATATAGCATAAGACTGGTACAGGAAATGGTCTGTTCTAATCAAATTCAGATTAAATGATGAATTCGGGTCACAGTACAAGTTGTTTGTTATAGGAGTTATCAGTCGAAACATCCACGTCTTTAATTCCTTGCTTTAATCCCCCTAGGGAGGGAGTTTCAGAGACGGGGGGCCACCACCGAGAATGCCCCCTCTCTCGTCCCCACCAACCGCGCCTGAGACGGGGGCGGAAGTGAGAGAAGAGCATCCCCAGAAGATCTTAAGCATCGTGTGGGTTCGTAGGGGGGAGGCGGTCACGCAAATAGTATCAACTAAATTAAAAAAAACAACAACAAGAAAAAGACGGAGAACCCATTGTTCCTTCTATTTATATTCTATGTCTTTTCAAACTAATGAGGTAGATTAGGTCAAGAGAATGGTTCTCCTGAAGTCAAAATAAGTAAATTTGACATATGTATGAGGATTTCTGCTCAGGTCTGACACTCTTTTGAGGTAATTTTGAATGAACAGAGAAGATTTCCTGCTAATAATAAATGTTAATATATAGGGGGGAGGGAGCCCAGTCTGCTTAGAAACCAGACAGGAAAGACTGGGAAGTGATTTGTCCACTCTTATACAGAAATATGTAATTGCTTACCTATTTTGAGGGTCTGGAAAATGCTCAAGCTCATGCATGTGTCCTGCCCACTATCACACGTTTTATTTGGGCATGTGCTGGAAGAAGGTATACAGGTTGGGCAAACTAGAGAGAGGGTTGCAATTGTTAGTAGCATTAGTGATCTCTTCATATCTCTTCATCGTTTACCCAATTCCAAGTCAGTACAAACCTCTTGTGTTAGCAAAACCCTCCCCAACCTCTCTGACTCCTATCTTTCAGCCCTTATTTGTTTTTACCAGCCTGTAAAAAATCTACATTCTAGGACTCGCTGGGCTTTCCACAGAAGTTGAGGAAGCAGGAACCCATTTTGTTTCCTTCTGCTTCAGGGTAAGCTTTGTTTAAATTTAACTGCTTTCAGCACTGCTTTGTTTGAGAGGCGGGGCTTCCTGAGTTTAAAAATTAACTGCTTTGTTTGAGAGGAGGGGCTTCCTGAGTTTAAAATTAACTGCTTTGTTTGAGAGGAGGGGCTTCCTGAGTTTAAAAATTAACTGCTTTGTTTGAGAGGAGGGGCTTCCTGAGTTTAAAATTAACTGCTTTGTTTGAGAGGAGGGGCTTCCTGAGTTTAAAATTAACTGCTTTGTTTGAGAGGAGGGGCTTCCTGAGTTTAAAAATTAACTGCTTTGTTTGAGAGGAGGGGCTTCCTGAGTTTAAAAATTAACTGCTTTGTTTGAGAGGAGGGGCTTCCTGAGTTTAAAAATTAACTGCTTTGTTTGAGAGGCGGGGCTTCCTGAGTTTAAAAATTAACTGCTTTGTTTGAGAGGAGGGGCTTCCTGAGTTTAAAAATTAACTGCTTTGTTTGAGAGGAGGGGCTTCCTGAGTTTAAAAATTAACTGCTTTGTTTGAGAGGAGGGGCTTCCTGAGTTTAAAAATTAACTGCTTTGTTTGAGAGGGGCTTCCTGGTTATCCTATATAAACCAGTGTCTGAACCCAAGGGGCAGCTGGGCTTTCCACAGAAGTTGAGGAAGCAGGAACCCATTTTGTTTCCTTCTGCTTCAGGGTAAGCTTTGTTTAAATTTAACTGCTTTCAGCACTGCTTTGTTTGAGAGGCGGGGCTTCCTGAGTTTAAAAATTAACTGCTCTGTTTGAGAGGAGGGGCTTCCTGAGTTTAAAATTAACTGCTTTGTTTGAGAGGAGGGGCTTCCTGAGTTTAAAAATTAACTGCTTTGTTTGAGAGGCGGGGCTTCCTGGTTATCCTATATAAACTCAGTAACCTATACTTTCACCCCTGCATACAGACAACATCAAACACACACCAAGAGGAGGTCATTAGCAACCTCCAGATGGAACAAACACGAAAACTTCCCGTCTCATGCACAAGCTGTGGCATGTTCAGCTTTTTCACACTACAATTACTCAATTACATCTGCCCCAAGTGTAAACAGATCACTCGCATGGAACACAGAATCCGACAACTCGAGGACCGTATTAAGACCCTTAAGGACATTCAGGAACTTGAGCTGTTCTTAGACACCACACACCACACTGTCCTAGACACGCAGCCCATATCACACCAACATTACGGGGAGGCTCAACAGAACAGCACCTCAGATGTGGACAACTCTCAGGCTTGGAGAAATGTCACCCTTAGAAGGACACATAGGACCCGGAAGCCTCCTCAGAATACTTCCGCTCAGCTGCAGTTACACAATAGATTCCAAATTCTCACACAACTAGCACCTGACCAAGAAACACAACATATTGGGGAAGACCAGAATGGCTTAGATACTGATCAGTGGCTCATCCTTGATCAGTGTGCGGGGGATAGCCCTGACTGGGACAACACTTCACAACATTCACACTTGCACAATCCTGCAGGTGTACCATCCCCAACCATAGACCAGGAGCAACAGGAACACATACAGGAGAACCATAGGCTCTTGGACGAATCTCAATGGATTGTCCTTGACGAATGCACCGGGGATGTCGAGGAGGAGGACAACACTTTTCACCTACACAATTCACACCAACAGGATCACTTTTCTGGAGACCTACACACTACATTGCACAAAAGGGGCCCTGTCATTCCTGAAAGTAAACAGGTCTTGGTAGTAGGCGACTCCCTCCTTAGAGGAACGGAAGCTGTCATTTCCAGACCGGATGGGATGGCTCGAGAAATATGCTGCCTACCGGGGGCAAAAATACACCATATCACTCAGAGGCTCACCAGGCTCCTCAAGCCCTATCACCATCCTCCCCTCATGTTGATTCATGTAGGAACCAATGATACTGCAAGGCATACGTTTCAAAAGATCACAAATGATTTTCGAGCTCTAGGAGCAAAGCTAAAAGAATGTAATGTACAGGTGGTCTTTTCATCCCTCCTCCCTGTTGTAAGACACGGACCCACAAGAGCCAGAAAAATAGTACAGGTCAATGACTGGCTTAGAAAATGGTGTCAGGAGGAACGTTTTGGCTTCCTTGACCATGGCCTGCTTTTCCAGGAGGATGGCCTACTGGCAAGGGATGGGGTGCATCTCACACAAGTAGGAAAACACCTTTTTGCTCACAGACTCGCAAACCTCATTAGACGCACTTTAAACTAGGTCCACCGGGGGAGGGGGACAACAGCCTTGCGAACACTACTTTACCCATAATGTCTGGGAATCGCCAGAAGGCTAAACGGAGGGCTGCACAAACACAACAAGGACCAAGTACCAAAAGCACAATAATCCCAATTAAACAGCTCAAGGGAAGATCTCAGGGGCTCACATGTCTTTACACTAATGCACAGAGCATGGGAAATAAACAAGACGAACTCCAACTTTTAGCACAACACCACAAATATATCATAGGGATCACTGAAACCTGGTGGGATGACTCCTATCGCTGGAATGTAGATATCGAGGGGTATAACCTCTTTCACAGAAACCGAACAAAGGGGAGAGGAGGCGGAGTAGCCTTATATGTCAAAAACTCTTATGCTGCAGAAGAGATTCAAGACAGCAATCTGGGAAACCAGCTTGAAATCATCTGGATAAGAATCAAGGGAACTGGGACTCAAAAAGATGTCGTTGTAGGCATCTACTACAGACCCCCAAGCCAGGAGGAAGAACTTGATGAAGTCTTCTGCCAACAGTTGACCAAACAGGCACAGAGAAGAGATGTAGTAGTCATGGGCGATTTCAACTATCCCGATATTTGCTGGAAAACAAACTCGGCCAAGAGTACAAGGTCCAACAAATTCCTCGCTTGCCTTGCAGACAATTCATGGTCCAGAAGGTAGAAGAGGCAACAAGGGGATTGGCTACTCTTGATCTCATCCTAACAAATGCGGAGGACCTGATCGATGCGGTTGAAGTGGTAGGATCCTTAGGGGCAAGTGACCATGTGCTCCTGCAATTTGAGGTACAAAGGAAGGCCGAAACTAAGACAAGTCAAACCCATATTTTGGACTTTAGGAGAGCTGATTTCCAAAAAATGAAGGAACTGAGCAGCATTCCGTGGACACAGATACTAAAAGACAAGGGAGTTACGGATGGATGGGAATTTCTCAAGAGTGAAATACTCAAGACGCAATTGCAAACGTGCCAACAAAGAGAAAAAATAGGACAAGTGCAAAGAAGCCAGAATGGATGTCCAAATAACTTCTAACTGTGCTAAGACACAAAAGAGACATGCACAAGAAGTGGAAAAAGGGAGAAATCACCAAAGAAGAATTCAAACAAATAGCCAACACCTGTAGGGAAAAGGTCCGCAAGGCTAAAGCAAAAAACGAGCTCAGACTTGCCAGGGACATTAAAAACAATAAAAAGGGCTTCTATTCTTATGTCAGTAGAAAAAGGAAAAACAAGGAGGCGATAGACCTCTTCGAGGAGAAGATGGGGCAATGCTGACAGGGGATAGGGAAAAGGCAGAACTACTTAATGCCTTCTTTGCCTCGGTCTTCTCACAAAAAGAGAGTCTTCACCCTCAGCAAGATGGAGTGGATGAGGGATTAGAGGACATCCAACTCCAAATTGGGAAACAAGTCGTCCAGGAATACCTGGCCGCTCTAAATGAGTTCAAGTCCCCAGGGCCAGATCAACTACACCCAAGAGTATTGAAGGAACTAGCGGAAGTCATTTCGGAACCATTGGCAACCATCTTTGAGAGTTCTTGGAGAACGGGAGAAGTTCCAGCAGATTGGAGGAGGGCCAACGTGGTCCCAATCTTCAAGAAGGGAAAAAAGGATGACCCAAACAACTACCGTCCGGTCAGCCTCACGTCGATACCAGGCAAGATTCTGGAAAAGATTGTTAAGGAAGTGGTCTGCAAACACTTAGAAACAAATGCAGTCATCGCTAATAGTCAACATGGATTTATCAAAAACAAGTCATGCCAGACTAATCTGATCTCTTTCTTCGATATAGCTACAAGCTGGGTAGATGCGGGGAATGCCGTGGATGTAGCGTACCTGGATTGCAGTAAGGCCTTCGACAAGGTCCCCCATGACCTTCTGGCAAGGAAACTAGTCCAATGTGGGCTAGGCAAAACTACGGTGAGGTGGATCTGTAATTGGTTAAGTGGACGAACACAGAGAGTGCTCACTAATGCTTCCTCTTCATCTTGGAAAGAAGTGACAAGTGGAGTGCCGCATGGTTCCGTCCTGGGCCCGGTCCTGTTCAACATCTTTATTAATGACTTAGATGAAGGGCTAGAAGGCATGATCATCAAGTTTGCAGACGACACCAAATTGGGAGGGATAGCCAATAGTCCAGAGGACAGGAGCAGAATTCAAAGCGATCTTGACAGATTAGAGAGATGGGCCAAAACTAACAAAATGAAGTTCAACAGTGACAAATGCAAGATACTCCACTTTGGCAGAAAAAATGAAATGCAAAGATACAGAATGGGGATGCCTGGCTCGAGAGCAGTACGTGTGAAAAAGATCTTGGAGTCCTCGTGGACAACAAGTTAAACATGAGCCAACAATGTGATGTGGCGGCAAAAAAAGCCAATGGGATTTTGGCCTGCATCAATAGGAGCATAGTGTCTAGATCTAAGGAAGTAATGCTACCCCTCTATTCTGCTTTGGTTAGACCACATCTGGAATGTTGTGTCCAATTCTGGGCACCACAATTCAAGAGAGATATTGACAAGCTGGAATGTGTCCAGAGGAGGGCGACTAAAATGATCAAGGGTCTGGAGAACAAGCCCTATGAGGAGCGGCTTAAGGAGCTGGGCATGTTTAGCCTGAAGAAGAGAAGGCTGAGATGAGATATGATAGCCATGTATAAATATGTGAGAGGAAGCCACAGGGAGGAGGGAGCAAGCTTGTTTTCTGCTTCCTTGGAGACTAGGACGCGGAACAATGGCTTCAAACTACAAGAGAGGAGATTCCATCTGAACATTAGGAAGAGCTTCCTGACTGTGAGAGCCGTTCAGCAGTGGAACTCTCTGCCCCGGAGTGTGGTGGAGGCTCCTTCTTTGGAAGCTTTTAAACAGAGGCTGGATGGCCATCTGTCAGGGGTGATTTGAATGCAATATTCCTGCTTCTTGGCAGGGGGTTGGACTGGATGGCCCATGAGGTCTCTTCCAACTCTTTGATTCTATGATTCTATGATTCTATGACTTTTCAGTTTCGCTCTCAACAAGTATTCCCTCTTTCTCGGCTCTGCTTCAGTCTTTTTCAGTCATTGCCCCATACTCTTTGAATTACTTCCCTGAATATTTGCAGGTTGTTCCATCCCTCGATTTTTTAAAAATCTCAGTTTAAAACGTCCTTGTTTTTTCAAAGCTTTTGAGATTTTAGTTTAATTTTGTTTTATAATCTTGTATATTTTAATTTGCTCTTTCTCTCTCTCTCTATAAATATATATATTACCATCCTGTGAGAGGCTTTTCTCATGCCTCTGCATGGGAAGCTAGAGCCGACAGACAGGAGCTCACCCTGCTCCCTGGATTCAAACCACCGACCTTTCAATCAGCAGTCCTGCCAGCACAAGGGTTTGACCCAGTGGTTCTCTGCCTGTGGGTCCCCAGGTGTTTTGTCCTTCAACTCCCAGAAATCCCAGCCAGTTTACCAGCTGTTAGGATTTCTGGGAGTTGAAGGCCAAAACATCTGGGGACCCACAGGTTGAAAACCACTGGGTCAACCCACTGCACCACCAGGAGCTCCTGCTTTGTATTATATGGCATTTTACCTTAGTACTGTGTCATTTATATTTTACTATTTCTTCCTTCACTCTGTGTGCATGCATCTGCATGTATGCATATACTAGCTGTCCCTTGCCACGTGTTGCTGTGGCCCAGTCTGTGTATATGTGTCTTGTGAGTGTATATATGTGTGTATATATTTGTGTATGCATACAAATGTGTGGTTTTTGTGTATGCATTGTAATGTAATTTTTTTTGGTTTTTTAAGTCTCTCCTGCTGTCTTTTCAGTGTCTTATGAGTGATGGTCACTCGTTGTCCTGATAGGTGTCTTGTGTCCAAATTTGGTGTCAATTCGCCCAGTGGTTTTTGAGTTACGTTAATCCCACATACAAACATTACATTTTTATTTATATAGATTATAAATTGTACACTTTTGTACAATTGTATACTTTACTTGCAATGTGCATGTCAATAAATAAATGATGTCTATATAAATAATTGTTTATTATTATTTATTTAAAACACTTATATTCCGCCCTTCTCACCCCGAAGGGGACTCAGAGCACAACATATACATGGCAAACATTCAGTGCCTGGGTACAATACATAAACATTAAAAAACATTTATCTAAATATTAAAATACACCATTTAAAATAACATAATTTAAAACCGTCCTAGCCATCCGCATCAAATCCAATTGGCCCTGTCATCTTTCCCATTGTCGCTTCATTGCCCTGTCCCGAAAGCTTGGTCCCACAGCCAAGTTTTTACCATCCTTCTAAAGGACAGGAGGGAGGGGGCCGACCTGATCTCACAGGAAGGGAGTTCCATAGCCGGGGAGCAATCACCGAGAAGGCCCTGTATCTCTTCCCCACCAATTGTGCCTGTCACAATGGTGGGACGGAAAGCAGGGCCTCCCCAGAGGATCTTAATCTCCGCGTTGGTACATAGAGGGAGATGCGTTTGGACAGGTAATTTGGGCCGGGGCCATTTAGGGCTTTATAGGCCAAAGCCAGCACTTTGAATTGTAAATGCTGGTGATGATTATTGTTTTAGATTGAACTTGAAAGGAACAACACTAGATGCTGAACCAGTCTGAGAGATATGTTTCAACATTGTGAATAGCTCCTTTAAAGTCTGGAGTAAAATCCAGTGCAAATTCACACACACTATTATGCATATATTGACATTAAAAATGCCAGCTGTCATTGCCCAAGAAAGAAAGAAGAAAGGGAAAACCTTTTATTGATTTTACAAGACTCAATATGTTTATTTCTATCCCGAAATTTGGAGTGAAACCCAAAATGGAATCATTGCCTTACCGGCATGGGAACCTTCAGCCTCCACTCCTATTCCTTCTACCCTCAATTCATGGAACTACCTGAAGCTTATTCTATTGTAGGACCATCTTGGATGCCACCACTGAAGTGGGCTAAAGTCTACAAAGCTTTTTTACCATCTTCTTTTTCTGTCTGTCTCAAAGATGCTATTTTGCAAATTCTTCTGGAAGAAAATGAATATCAGCCAACATACCTAGTGGTTCCACCACTTGAGCTCCAACAAGGAGAATGGCAACAAGGAGAAGGGATAGAGAAGCCATCTGGATGTCCTGTCTGGGATGCAGCCAAGCCAAACTAGGTGTGCACAAGAGAAGGATTTATAGGCTGGAGAGAGCTTTATGACTGGCTGGGCATAGATGCAATCCCCCTCCGATAGAAGTTGTGAATCAATAAATGGGTGGGTTCATTGCCTGTGTCTAAAGGAATGGGTGGGTAATAAGGAAATAAAAAATAAAACCAAAGGACTTCCACTAATTTCAACACTGTAATGCTGGGAAAAATGGCAAAGTAAATTTCCAATAAATAAAATTGATATGCTCCCAATAGGAATATTAGACTTTAAAAAGAACCAATATTTGCCCATATATGTCTTTAATTAATTAATTAATTAATTAATTAACTATATTTATATCCCGCTCTTCTTCCCTTGCAAGGGACTCAGAATGGTGTACAGAGCGGAAATATTTAATGCTGCATATTGAACATAAAATGCAATACATCAATGAAATAGACCAGAGTTTCTCAACCTGGGGGTCTGGACACCTGCGAGGGGTCGTTAGGAGATGTCAGAGGGGTCACCAAAGACCATCAGGAAACACAGAGCATTCTGAACTCCACCAATGATGCAATTGAACCAAAGTTGGCACACAGAACTCCCATGTCCAACAGAAAATACTGGAAGGGTTTGGTGGGCATTAACCTTGAATTTTGGAGTTGTAGTTCACCTACATACAGAGAGCACTGTGGAGTTAAACAATGATGGATCTGGACGAAACTTAGCATGAATAATCAATGTACCCAAATGTGAACACTGGTGGAGTTTAAGGAAAATAGACTTGACATTTGGGAGTTGTAGTTGATGCGGTTTATAGTTCATATACAATCAAAGAGCATTCTGAATCCCATCAATGATAGAATTGGGCCAAACTTCCCACACAGAACCCCTGTGATGAACAGAAAATACTGTGTGTTTCTTATCATCTTTGATGACCCCTCTGACACCCCCTCATGACCCCCCCCCCCCTCACAGGTCCCAAGCCCAGGTTGAGAAATGTTGTTATTGATATATACAGATAACACAGGGCTTGTAAAGATTTCTAGGGGGGAAATCTATATATTATTTGCAAGTTTTGGGGCATGCATTTGACCAAGGAAGAAATGCAAGCAAAGTCCCCCTGAAAAAAAATATTGTCCTCTTTCCTCTTCCCCTTTCCCACCGCTTTTATTTCTCCCCTTTTCAAACTCTAAAATAGCTGGAAAGGGCATTTTAAAACCTCCCTCACTTGCCCCAAAAAACCTACCTCATTTTTGTATCCTTAGAAGAAATAAAAGTCAGCAACTTTCTGTTGCTGACTTTTGTCAATGTAGGGCTTTATTTTCTTTTTTAAACAGATATGGAGGAGGAGTGGGGAAAATATTGCTTCTTCCCTACCAGAAAGATCACTTTTGGTTTCTTTGCAAAAAAAAAAAAAGCCAGGAAATTGGGTGTGTTTAAAAGAGAGTCATACATACAAGGAGGAAGTGAACTATAGCTCCTTTCTCTCCTTCCCTCTCCTTGACTCAGATAGTACTAATAGTAATAATAAATCCTGCAGATTTGCCAGAGTCTCTCTGGAGAGCAGAGGACCGTGGGAGGATTTGGAAAAGGAAACACACTCCTCTACCCGGCTTGACCCCATTATAAGCCTAGGGAGGGTTTTTAGGTGAGGAAAAGGGTTGAAAAACTCCACTTATCTTTGAGTATATACCAAACCTTCCTAACCTTCCTAATGTCGTGACCCTTTAATATAGTTCCTCATGTTGTGGTGACCCCCAACCATAACATTTTTTCGTTGCTACTTCATATTTTGCTACTGTTATGAATCGTCATGTAAATATCTGATATGCAGGGTGTATTTTCATTCACGAGCAAATTTGGCACGGATACCTGATATGCTCAAATTTGAATACTGATGGGGTTAGGGGGGATTGATTTTGTCATTTGGGAGTTGTCGTTGCTGGGATTTATAGTTCACCTACAATCAAAGAGCATTTTGAACTCCAACAACAATGGAATTGAACCAAACTTCGCATACAGAATTCCCATGACCAACAGAAAATACTGGAAGGGTTTGGTTGAGTTTTGAAGTTGTAGTTCGCCTACATCCAGAGAGCACTGAGGATTCAAATAATGATGGATCTGGACCAAACTTGGCACGGATAATCAATATACCCAAATGTGAACACTGGTGGAGTCTGAAAAAATAGACTTGGCATTTGGGAGTTGTAGTTGCTGGGATTTATAGTTCAAATCAAAGAGCATTCTGAACTCTACAAACAATGGAATTGAACTAAACTTGGCATACAGAACTCCCATGACCAACAGAAAATACTGGGTTTGGTTGGCCTTGAGTTTTGAAGTTGTAGTTCACCTACATCCAGAGAGCACTGTGGACTCAAACAATGATTGATCTGGACCAAACTTGGCATGAATAATCAATATGCCCAAATGTGAACACTGGTGGAGTCTGACATGACATTTGGAAGTTGTAGTTGTTGGGATTTATAGTTCACCTATAATCAAAGAGCATTCTGAACTCACCAATGATAGAATTGTGCCAGACTTCCCACATAGAACCCCCATGATCCGCAGAAAATACTGGGGTATTAGCTATCCCTTCATATCTCTTCATTGTTTACCCAATTCCTTTAAGGAGTCAGTACAAACCTCTTGTGTTAACAAAACCCTACAACCTATCTGGCCCCTATCTTTCAGACCTTTTTTTTACTAGTCTGTAAAAAATTTACATTGTAGGACTGCTCAGCTGCTCACCCAATAAGGATTCACTCATTCTTTAGTCTTTTTCAGTCATTGCCACCCCTCTGTTATGTCAGCTCCACTGGCTGCCGATCCAGTACCGAGCGCAATTCAAAGTGCTGGTTCTGACCTATAAAACCCTATACGGCTCCAGCCCAGCGTACCTGTCCAAACATATCTCCTTCTATGTCCCACCTCGGAGTTTAAGATCTTCGGGGGAGGCCCTGCTCTCGGCCCCACCTCTATCACAAGTGAGGCTGGTGGGGATGAGGGACAGGGCCTTCTTGGTGGTGGCCTCTTGCCTGTGGAATTTACTCCCCAGGGAAATTGGGTAATCAACATCCCTCCTCTCCTTCAAAAGGAAGCTGAAAACATGAATATGGGACTAGGCCTTTGGGTAATCTGGCAGGCTTACAAGATAATGACGACCAGAAATTGGAAAGGACTATGGTAATGATGAATGGATTTACGGATATCAGAACTCGGTGAACGTTGGCCACTAGATTGGCTTTTAATTGTTTAATTGTTATTGTTTTAATTGATTGTTTTAACTACTGTGGTTATTGCTGTTATGTAATTTATTTGTTGAATTGTTGGCATCGAATTGTGCCGGTGTAAGCCGCCCTGAGTCCCCCCTCGGGGGTTGAGAAGGGCAGGGTAGAAGTGCCCGAAATAAGTAAGTAAATAAATAAATAATTGCCCCCATACTCTTTGAATTACTTCCCTGAATATTTGCAGGCTGTTCAATCCCTCAATTTTAAAAAAATCTCAATTAAAAACTCACTTGTTTTTCCAAAACTTTTGAGATTTTAGATAAATTTTGTTTTATAATCTTGTATATTGTAATTAAATGCATATATATATATATATATATATATATATATTCATGTCAGGAGCAACTTGAGAAACTACAAGTTGCTTCTGGTGTGAGAGAATAGGCTGTCTGTAAGGACATTGCCCATGGGAAACCCATATGTTTTACCATCCTGTGGGAGGCTTCTGTCATGTCTCTGCATGAAAAGATGGAGCTGACAGACGGGAGCTCTCCTCGCTCCCTGGATTTGAACCGCCGAACTTTCAGTCAGCAGTCCTGCCGGCACAAAGGTTTAACTCAGTGGTTCTCAACCTGTGAGTCCCCAGGTGTTTTGGCCTTCAACTTCCAGAAATTCCAGCCAGTTTACCAGCTGTTAGGATTTCTGGGCGTTGAAGGCCAAAACATCTGGGGACCTACAGGTTGAGAACCAGTGGTTTAACCCATTGTGCCACTGGTAGCTCCTGCTTTATATTATATTGCATTATAGTATTTTACCTTAGTACTGTGTCATTTATATTTTACTATTTCTTCCTTCACTCTGTGTGCATGCATCTGCATTTGTGCAAATACTAGCTGTCTCCTGCCACGTGTTGCTGTGTCCCAGTCTGTGTATATGTGTTTTGTATTTATTTATTTATTTTTTGCCAGTCTGTAAAAAACGACTTAAATCAAGAAATAGTTTTCTTAGATCTACAGAGACACTCGCTGGAACACCTCAGCAAGCGAGAGTCCAAAAGTGGCAGGCTCAAACCCAGAACCTCAATCCAATGGCTGATACCAAATGAGAGACTCCCCCCTGGGCATACAGAAGACTGGGCGACTTGGAAGGCGCTGAACAGACTGCGCTCTGGCACCACGAGATGCAGAGCCAATCTTAAGAAATGGGGCTACAAAGTGGAATCCACGACATGCGAGTGTGGAGAAGAGCAAACCACTGAGCACCTGCTGCAATGCAACCTGAGCCCTGCCACATGCACGATGGAGGACCTTCTTGCGGCAACACCAGAGGCACTCCAAGTGGCCAGATACTGGTCAAAGGACATTTAATCAGCTACCAAGTTTGCAAAATTTGTGTTTTTGTTTTTGTTTTGTTTTTTTATCTGTTTGCTTGTTTTGTTCTGTTAGAAATGAAATACAATGTTCTGGTTGCGGATGACACGATAAATATAAATTTATTTATTTATTTATTTTGTGTACTTCTACCCCGCCCTTCTCAACCCCCGAGGGGGGACTCAGGGCGGCTTACAAACAGGCACAATTTGATGCCTACACAATAATACAAAAACGTATAAAAACAGCAATTAAACAGTTATAACAATTAAAACAATTAAAACAATCAATATATATCACAATCAATAAACCAATAAACCAATGTGTATATATGTGCATTTGTGTATATATGTGTGTTTGCATATATATGTGTGTGGTTTTTGTGCATGCATTATAATGGGGTTTTTTTTTAAGTCTCTTCTGCTGTTTTTTCAGTGTTTTATGAGTGATAGTCACTCGTTGGCCTGACAGGTGTATTGTGTCAAATTTGGTGCCAATTCATCCAGTGGTTTTTGAGTTATATTAATCCTACAAACGAACATTACATTTTTATTTATATAGACTAGCCATCTCCTGCCACGCGTTGCTGTGGCCCAGTCTGTGTATATGTGTTTTGTGTGTATATATGTGTGTAATGTGTGTTTGTACATATATGTATGTGGCTTTGCATATTCATTGTAATGTATTTTTTGTTTTTTTGGCTTTTTAATTCTCTTTTGCTGTGTTTTTCAGTGTTTTTATGAGTGATGGTTACTCGTTGGGAAGTTTGCCCCAATTCTTTCGTTGGGGCTCAAATGCTCTTTGATTGTAGGCGAACTTTAAATCCCAGTAACTACAACTCCCAAATGTCAAGGTCTATTTCTCCCAAACTCCATCTGTATTCATATTTGGGCATATAGAGTATTTGTGCCAAGTTTGGTCCAGATCCATCATGGTTTGAGTCCACAGTGCTCTCTGGTGGTCGGTGAACTACAACTCCCAAACTCAAGGTCAATGCCCACCAAACCCTTCTAGTGTTTTCTGTTGGTTATAGGGGTTCTGTGTGGGAAGTCTTCCCAAATTCTGTCGTTGGTGGGGTTCAAATACTCTTTGATTGTAGGCAAACTATAAATCCCAGCAACTACAACTCCCAAATGACAAAATCAATTTTTTTTTAGTGGAGAACATATATTGGGTTGTTAGGTGTATCGTGTCCAAATTAGGTGCCAATTGCCCCAGTTGTTTTTGAGTTCTGTGAATACCACAAACAAACATTACATTTTTATTTATATAGATTATAAACTTTACACTTTTGTACAACTGAATACTTTACTTGCAATGTGCATGCCAATAAATAAATGATGTCTATATGAATAAATGCTGGTGCTGATGATTATTTCAGTTTGAACTTTAAAGGAACAACACTAGATGTTGAATCAGTCTGACAGATTAAACATTGTGAATAGCTCCTTTAAAGTCTGGAGTAAAATCCAGTGCAGATTCATAGAGACTAATATAAATATATTGGCATTACAAATGCCAGCTGTCATTGCCCATTCTACATGAAGCCGCTGGGGGAGATCATCAGGAGTTTCGGAGTAAGGTGTTATATGTACGCAGATGACATCCAAATCTGTCACTCCTTTCCACCTGTTACTAAGGAGGCTGTTCAGACCTTGATCCGGTGCTTGGCTGCTGTATCGGACTGGATGAGGGCTAACAAACTGAAATTGAATCCAGACAAGACAGAGGTCCTCCTGGTCAGTCAAAAGGCCGAACAGGGCATAGGGTTACA